GCCCAGGTGGCACGAAGTCAGGGGTATACAGGAGGCACTGTATGAATGCTGGTCTTCCTCTTTCTTCTCTGGGCCTCCCAGCCTTGGAATATCAGGAAGACCGGGGGTGGGTACAGCCTGTCATGATCACAAATTCGCTAGCTGTGCAGAGATATAGTTGCCCCTTCCTTACCTGCCCCCCAGGAGTTGGACAGGATGGAATGTGCCTGAATTTATTTCTCTCATGGGAACAGGCAGCCCCCTCCTGTGTCCCCATTTATCTTAGAATAATGCTGACTTCTAGTCACATTGTTCTTTATTAGCAAAGATTGTTAAATAGGTAACAAAATTGATTCTTTTTACAGACTCACCAGGAAAAAAATTCCTCCTTAAACCCTCAGCCCCACTATGTGACCTGTTCCCACATGTTGACTTAGTTCTTCCTCCTTGTGCCCTCCCAATCCCTCAAGGTCCTCCTGAAACCTGGCTCTGGGCTGTCAGTGAGTTGTGTGGCATTTCAGCACTGGTAAAAACCTTAACACTGTGGTGTACTTGCCCATGCTGAGTTTGACCATCAGGTTCAGGGAAGTTCACACACTTGCTCGAGTTTATGTTCAAGATAGGGCAAAGGCCCCAGCCAAGGTTTCCTGCCTTGGACTTTCTTTCCCCCATGTCCAAGCAGAATAACAGTGCCGGCCTCACGGGGCTGTATGGGGACCAAGCAAGCAAAGAGACACAAAAGCCCAGAGAACAGTGTGTGTCTAGAATGTACTTTATACATGCTCATCATCACTGTGCCACATCCTGCACTTTGTCATAATGTTCAAAAGTGTGATCCTTGCTAGGGATACAGCTCAGTTGGTAGAGTGCTTGCCTCACATGCACAAGGCCCTCGGTTTGATCCCCAGCGCCATCAAAAAAAAATTGTGATTCTTGAGAGGTTTGGGCCTTGTTCAGTATGCTCCCAAGAAGAGCCTAGATTTGAAGGTGGATTGTCAGCTGTTAGCTGTGTGACCACATCTCAGTATTCTTATCTGCAAAATGTGACATTCACCTGATCAAGTATTGTGGGAGTTCAATATAAGGTAGCACATGGAAGTCCCGTGGCTTGTTTCCAGGACCATAGTCTAGGCTCTGAAATGATAACTATTATCATTATAATCCTGATCTAAAAGCCCCTAGTTGAGACTGAAGACGAGAAGGTGGGGGCTGGGAATGTACACAACTCAGTGGTTGAGTGCTTGTGTAAGTATGCATGAGGCCCTGAGTTCAATCCCCAGCACTGCAAAACAAAAAGAAAAAAATAAAGAAGTGGGTATTAGCAGGAAGTGGGCTAATTGACATGTCAGATTTTAGATGCCAAAGGAACCCTGGTTAAATATTCTAAAGGCTGGGCTGGGGCTGTAACTCAGTGGTAAAGTGCTTGCCTAGCACATGTGAGGTCCTGGGTTCAATCCCCAACAACACATAAAAATAAATAAATAGAATAAAGGCATTGTGAAAAAAAATTCTAAAAAAAAAAAAAAAAAACCTGTTCTAAACAATGCTGACAACCTGATTCTTTGAACTCACAGGTCAGAGAGTCCTGTGTATTGCTCTGTTCTCTCCCACGTTCCTCCTTGGGACAGTTCTGCACTTGTTGTCCTTGGTATCTACAGCAGATCCTGCGATTAATGAATGACCTGGAGGAGCTCCCGGGGAGGGCTTCAGGACCAGACTTCTAGAGTTCATGTGCATACTCAGAAATCCTGTTCTTGTTGTAGGGCTGCGATCTCTCACAATGGAGGGAAGCCGGCAGACGCGAGTTTCTCGGCCCTACAAGATCAGCGAATCTTCAAAGGTCTGTGCCTGCAGATTGCCTCAGACGTGTGGTGTGCTGACTCTCACTTGTTGTTGGTTTCAGCCATAAGCAAAGGTAGATAAGGCAAGGGGCAGAGAGCACCAGAGCGCCAGACTGCTGAGGGTGCGAGGGCACGGTGTGCACACTATGGCGTTGTCATCCTTCGCCAGGGTGGTGTCCTGGGGCGTCCCTCCTGTGTCACACCCAGCTTGCTTATTCATGTACTAATGCTAGGATGCAGATGGAATAGGATGGGAACTGTGGGGTCTCTGTCCCAGTGTGGGGCTCAGCACCACCAGAGACAGAGGCATGAAGAACCTGGCTGCTGGCTCTAGGGTGGGGCCTCACCGGGATCCTTATGTGGAGGTTCCAGGGCCTCTTTCCTGCCCTGGACTCTCAGGGACCTCAAGAGTGAGCTAGGGTGTGTTCGCAGGGCTAGGCTCACAGCCCCCTCAGGCTGGCTCCATCAGAATCAGCCTGAGGGAGAGTGGGGAGAGTCTGTAAAAGTGCCCTGCCTGGCCCCACCTGGGACCTGCTCAGTTAAGGTCTGAGGGCAGGACCTGGGGGCTGTGCCCATGGTCCAGTCCGTGAATAGAGCAGTCCCTGCCCCACAGCTGCTGTAGGTAAAGATGGAGGGTGCTCATTTGCAGCACAGTCCCCATTTGCACTTGTCTCCAGCTACAAATACTAATAATGCCCTCTTTTGAAATTTCCCTTTTGGAGATTAAATTTTGTGGTTGCTTTAGCTTATGCATTGTGAGGGTGAAAACTGGTTCTTGGGGTGCAGAAAACTTACTTTTTGTATACAGAGCAAACCATGAGACCTCACTTGGGCAGTAGACAGGGTGCGGGTGGTGGTGGAGCTCCTGGGGAGGGCTTTAGGACCAAACTTCTTAAAAGGCTTCTTAGTGGGAAAAAATGGAGAGATTCTGCATTGCCCAAAGGGGTGGCAAGCAGCTCGAGGTTGGGGCGGCTCTGTAGAGGCACCTGAAGGGAAGGCACTGTGCAGAAGGGGTTGTTCCCCTGAGAGACGGTCTCCTTTGCCACCTGAGTTTGCCGAGAAAGCTCCTGTATGTCTGCTTTTTGTCCATGAGCACAGAGGGCCCGCTGCGCTCAAAGGGGCTTTGTTCCTGACCTTGGCTGCAGACACAGTGTTGCTTTCTAAGTTTAATAGCACTGGAAATGTGTGTCTTTTAAAGTCAGATTCAGAGTCTCTGAATGGAAGCTTTTAGGAACAGGACAGGATCCGCTTTTCTTTAGTTGATTGTGTTTCTAAATTTTCTTATAAAAAATGAAAGTGGCCAAATCATACCTTGCATTTATGAACATTAATTTAATTCACGTAGCCAGCCCTGAGATGGGCAGATAGCATGTGTCCAAACCCTTCCTGCCACGGCGCTCAGCTCAGCTGCTTCCCAAGTTCTCTGCTTGTGGTTTCTCCTGCTCTGAACTTGACTGCAGTCCCAGTGGGCCACTCTCGTGTGTCTGGGGCATCCACTCAGCCTCAAGCCTGCGAGCCTGGCAGCCAATAGCTGGTGCAGGTCATTCATGCTTGGCATGGACTCTGCCTATGTGCGACTCCACTATTCACTTAGCCACCCTGTGAGGGGACAGTGCACAGTGAAGCAGACCTTCACCCCCACACCTGCTGCGTCCTCTAGATCATTGGCCCAACCACCTGGTCTCTTCCATCATCTGGCCTCGCGTGCAGTGATGCACCAAGAGGGGTGAAAACCAGTACAGCAAGGAGAGTTGGAACTTCTAAATTACCGAAATGCCAGAATTCTGCTCTTTGAAACTAGGGACGTGTGTGTGTGTGTGTGTGTGTGTGTGTGTGTGTGTGTAAAGTCATCTGTGCAGCTGAAATGCCAGGCACAGGCTAACCCGTGCACCTCTCCCCTGCACCACCCCTCTGCGGCAGATGGTCCCCTTGCAGCTGTGCCTGCCCCCCAGGCTGTATCCCTGTTGCACCACAGCTGGCTTGTGTGTGCCCATCTGAGTGCTAGGTCCCACCCCCTCACCACTTGAGAGCTGTGGGCTGGGCGCCCCCTGCGCCCCTTACTTGCTTCTCTTGGATGCCAAGGCTTTGCCTCACTTAGTCACCTGCTATTGTAGTGCTTCCTAATTCCCTTCCTGACATCTATAAAGGCCCCAGGCCAGTGTCTGTAGGAGCCCAGACATTCCTGCTTAATTAGAAGCCAAAACTAGGCCAGCTTGCCTCTCTCTGTAAGCAGCCAGATAAACAGCCACCCCTGAGCCCTCGTGGAGGAGCAGAGAGCCTGGCCCTCTGGGCTGCGGGGAGGGAGCCTCAGGTAGTGTCTCTGCGCACCCTCAGCAGGTTGTGAGGACACTCTGCTCTGGGACGTCAACAGGGTGATTGATGCTGCACTTGGCCAGACGCAGAACGACCACAGGAAACCATAGCTTCTAATTACATCAGCATCAGCAGCAGTAAGAGCAGACTTTAAAGGGAAGAAAAGGAAACGCACCATTGCTGGACACGTTGAGATGGGCCTCGCATGTGCCAAGCACGCAGCACCAGCACCTTGCAGACCCGCAGTCTAGTGCCCTTCTCTGTACAGCTCCGTGCTCCCCTTCTCAGGATCACTACTGGCCAGTTCTTTCCTTAGTCCCCCTTGAGTAGATCAGCTACTGTATGATATTTTTTTTGAATGGCCTGTTTTTCCCTACATTGAATTTTTCTTGCCTTTTGTGTGTGTGTGTGTGTGTGTACTGAGTAAATAAAGCAGTGTGTGTACAGTATCCCTAAAATAAGGTGGATCAGTCCTGCAAGGTCTCAGAAACCCGTCTAGATTTGATGCATGGTCGTGTCCTCAAGAGCCTGTGGCAGTCGCTTGGCATTCTCACTGTCTGCCAGCTTGAATTGATCCAACCGATTAATTGGAATCATTCACGTTAAATGTATCAATTCCAGGATAGTGTGGTAATTAAAGCTGATGAAGTCAGGCCCAGGTTCAAGTCTCAGCGCCACTGCTCAGTCCCTATGGGATCTGGGCAGGTTTTCTGGTATCCACCTCCCTCTCCTGGAAAAGGGGGGTTGTCAGGGACGTTTGTGATGCTCAGAGGAGAGCATGTTTCTGGTGCATAACACAAAGGAGCACATCCTGAGCCCCAGGGAAAGACAGCTCCGCACTAGCATGCTAGTGGTCCTTTAATCCAGGAGCGGGTGTGAAGCCACACTTCCCAGGAGGATCCCAGAGCACCTAGTAGTAGGCAGGAAGCCAGCCACCTCCCTGGGTGGAAGTGTGAAAGTGGGAGCCACGCTCTGGCATGACCGTGTGCCAGACACCTTGTGTGATGTGGGAAGCTGTCTGTCAGCAGATTACCGTAACCTCAGTAGGAGTTGACAGCTCATGGTGGGCACTGCTCAGGCATTGCTGGGTCAGCACTTTGCCCTCTTCTATCTCCCTACCTCCCCAAACCTGGGTGATAACACCCTGGTCCTCATTGCCAGACCAGAAGGTGGAGCCTCAAGTTCCCGGGTTTAACCCAAGAACCCAGTGAGCAGCAGAGCTAGGCTCAAACCAGTTCCCAGCTGACTTCAGGGCTTTGTGCACAGCTGCCCTCTAATATGGTAGCACCTTCCGTCCTTTGTCATGACCTGGAAGCAGGGAGGGGAGAGAGAGAAGGAAGGGGACAGAAAGGAGCTTCTAGCACTCTGTTTAAAAGAAGGAAGAAAGCCGGGCACGGTGGCGCACGCCTGTAATCCCAGTGGCTCGGGAGACTGAGCCAGGAGGATGGCGAGTTCAAAGCCAGCCTCAGCAACTACTTGGCACTGAGCACCTCAGTGAGACCCTGTCTCTAAATAAAATACAAAATAGGGCTGGGGAGGTGGCTCAGTGGTTGAGGGCCCCTGGGCTCAATTTTCAGTACAAAGAAAAAAAGGAAGAAAATCGGGGAGGGGGAGAGAAAGCAAGAAAGTTTTTAGAAATTATAAAAAAAGGAGAAAGTTTAGACAGACACACAGAGGCCCTCTGTGGTCTCTCATTCCTCTCCCTCTGGGGCAGGTCGCAACTGCTGGGTGGGTTGTGCCACCCCCTGACCGGCCCTCCTTCACAGGTGTACCGCTGGGCCGACCACTCCTCCACAGTGCTGCAGCGGCTAAACGAGCAGCGGCTCCGCGGCCTCTTCTGTGACGTGGTCCTGGTGGCGGATGAGCAGCGCGTGCCAGCCCACCGCAACCTGCTGGCCGTGTGCAGCGACTACTTCAACTCCATGTTCACGCTGGGCATGCGGGAGGCCTTCCAGAAGGAGGTGGAGCTGATCGGCGCCTCCTACATCGGGCTCAAGGCCGTGGTGGACTTCCTGTACAGCGGGGAGCTGGCGCTGGACGGCGGCAACATCGACTACATCCTGGAGACGGCGCACCTGCTGCAGATCTGGACAGTGGTGGACTTCTGCTGCGAGTACCTGGAGCAGGAGGTGAGCGAGGACAACTACCTGTACCTGCAGGAGCTGGCCTCCATCTACAGCCTCAAGCGGCTGGACGCCTTCATCGACGGCTTCATCCTGAGCCACTTCGGCACACTGTCCTTCACGCCCGACTTCCTGCAGAACGTCTCCATGCAGAAGCTGTGTGTGTACCTGAGCAGCAGCCAGGTGCAGCGGGAGTGCGAGCACGACCTGCTGCAGGCGGCCCTGCAGTGGCTGACGCAGCAGCCCGAGCGCGAGGCGCACGCCTACCGGGTGCTGGAGAACATCCACTTCCCGCTCATCCCCAAGAACGACCTGCTACACCGTGTCAAGCCGGCCGTGTGCTCGCTGCTGCCCCGCGAGGCCGACTGCGAGGGCTTCATCGAGGAGGCCGTGCACTACCACAACAGCCTGGCCGCCCAGCCCGTCCTGCAGACCAAGCGCACAGCGCTGCGCACGGACGAGGAGCGCCTACTGTTTGTGGGCGGTGAGGTCTCTGAGCGGTGTCTGGAGCTCAGTGATGACACCTGCTACCTGGACGCCAAGAGCGAGCAGTGGGTCAAGGAAACGCCCCTGCCGGCCCGGCGGAGCCACCACTGCGTCGCCGTGCTGGGGGGCTTCATCTTCATCGCGGGCGGCAGCTTCTCACGGGACAACGGAGGGGATGCAGCCTCCAACCTCCTTTATAGGTATGACCCCCGCTGTAAACAGTGGATCAAGGTGAGATTAAAGCCAGATTATTTCTTTTCTCTTGAGGCCTCTTTTCTTTGCCCTAACCTAGTCTTGACTTCCTTTCTCTCTGGGCCTTGGCGACAGTCCTGCTCCTGAACGAGGTGTGACAATAAAGAGATGAGCCACGGCTCCCACCCGTGCCCCCTGGGGAGAACGAGGGCAGTCAGGGGACTCTGCCCCGTGCCACATCCCACGTCAAGCTGCACGAGGCCTCAACACCATGCAGCAGCTGAGTGCCTGGGTTGTGACCAGGGCAAGCAAAGAACCAAATTTTCAATTTTACTTAGTTTTAACTAATTTACGTTTAAGTGTAAATGGCCACATGAGGCACCTCACTACCAGCTGCTGCTTCCAACATGCTCCCTGGGTCTCGGCCTCCACCAGGCTCCTCTTTCGGAAACATTTGGGAGCAGCGTTAAAGAGTCCACAAAGCCCATACCTGGCCCATTGGCAGGTATCAAGGCAAGATCAGGGAGGAGTGTGAACCCAGGTGCACACCTGAGATTGCGCTCCCACCTGGCCACAGTGTGGCTGGGATCCCAGGCCCGTTCCTCCCCCTCTCCCAATCCCACATTTCTCCTCTGGAAGTGCACGTGGCCTTCCAGGCAAGAGGGTGTGGCCTGCATTGAGTGGCATGCATCTGGCTCAGGTGGTCCGGGAGGTGCCTTCTCTTGATCATTGCCCATTAAAATCTGTGTCCATCTTTATACTCACACCTCTGTATTACTTCGTAACTCCGTGTCTTTCTGAGCTTTAACACTCAGAATGGATTCAAGATATCCTTTTGATTTTATTCTCAAAAGTCTTAAAACCAAGCCAGGTGTAGCAGAGCGTGCCTATAGTCCCAGCCACGAGGGAGGCTGAGGCAGGGGGATGGCAAGTTTGAGGCTGCCCAGGCAACTTGGATTCTATCTAAAAGTAAACATTTTTTAAAAGACATAGTTCAGTAGAACATTTGTTTAGCATGTGCTAAGCCCTGGGTTCAGTCTCCAGTATCCGGAAAAAAAAAATCTGGGCTGGGGATATAGCTCAGTTGGTAGAGTGCTTGCCTCCCATGCTCAAGGCCCTGGGCTCAGTTCCCAGCACCACACACACAAAAATCTGAAACCCAGGGCCAAGCCGTACCACTGGAGGGAGGCTGCAGCTTTGGAGGCAGCTCAGAGACTGTAACAGCAGCGGGGGTGTGTCGTCTGCAGGACCACATTCAGTGGAAATCACTTAAAAAACCAAAACAGAAAAGGTCAGGTCTTCTGCTTTTCAATGTCCTGTCAAATGCTACTTTCTTCCTTTAACGTGGACGGCAAGCAGCATTAGTGTTTAAAGACCCCTGATGGAGGGTGCTGGGGGCAGGCGATTTCTCAGGTCAGAAACCCGCTCACTAGACTACCTGCTCTGTTCCTCTGAGTCCCGGTCCACGAGGTCGACCACGTGGCCAGACAGGTTTGGGAAACCGAGGGTCCTCTTCATGAGGTTCCCAGTGTCTTGAGATCCAGGGGCTCTGAAAGTCTCACCAAAAGACCTCTTCTTGCCCCCCAGGCTCACTGGCCACATCACACCTCCTGGGCCGAGCACTCCATAGACATAGTTGGAGAGCACAGTGCTAGATAATGACACTGATCGGCGTTGAGGGAAGGGAAGGTACAGGTGTGTTGCTTCCACAGGTGGCCTCCATGAACCAGCGGCGTGTGGACTTCTACCTTGCCTCCATTGGGGACATGCTGTTGGCTGTTGGTGGCCGGAATGAGAATGGAGCACTCTCTTCGGTGGAGACCTACAGCCCCAAGACTGACTCTTGGTCCTACGTGGCCGGCTTGCCAAGGTGACTGGGTCCTGAGGCCTCTTCTTCCAGCGTGACTTCTGGGAGAACAACGTTTATTAGTCTGCTCACTTTTTGGGTATTCTGGCCTCTAGTTCTGGGGGGAAATCTGGCTTATGGGCAGCAGTGGATAGCCACAAGGGGTCTAGGGTGCGGGAGCCTGGGCTTTAGTTCTAGATTGTCAGTGAGCGTCCGCCGCGCTGCCTAGATAAGCGTCACCCCTTCCAGGTCCATGTGGTTCCTGACCCCAGGAGTCTTGAGTTACCAACGGGGGATTTACTGGAAGACCCCACTGAGCTCTGGGGGTGGGGCCTTCGCCCACTCAGTCTTCCCTTCCTCACTGCAGCAGAGGGGGCCGGCGGTGAACTCTGCCCAATGGGGTGGGGGGGCGGAGATTCTGCTGGTGATCCTTCAGGCGCACCTGGTGGGCAGGAGCTGTCCAGGTGAGCAGCCCAGGCACCTCGGGGACCTCGTCCCGAGGGTTAGCAAGGGTGTGGGCAAGTGTAGCTGGCGCCGGGAGTCATGCCAGGCGCTAGTCCCAACCCTTCAACTCATAGACGGCCTCTTTCACCTGGAGGATCCTGAGGCCAGCGCAGTAATGACGGGCACTGCTGACAGATAGTAAGTGGCTGGCCCTTGCAGCTGTCACAGTGGCCAGGACTGCTCTTCCTAACTCAGGGCCAGGTGCTGCATGTGACTTGTCACCTTCTCTGGGTGACAGGACAGGCCAGGCCAGCCTATCCTGGGCCATCCCCAAGCTGAGGTACTTCACCAACCCATTTCCAGGTGGAGAAGTGGAGCCTAGAATGTGCTCAGTCTGTTGTCCCCACGGTCCCGGCCGGCCAGCACCGGCTGTGCACTGGACACTTCGAGGACTATTATTCCTAAGCACTGCAGCCCAGGGCTGAGCAGTCCGTGACGCTGCAGTGCCAGTGTGTCCCCGGCTGGCCCCACCGACTCATCTCTCGTGTGTCCTTGTTGGTAGGATGGGGCCTCTGTGAGACCCAGCCCATCTCAGCGTAGGACCCTGCTGGCCACTCTGCCACCCTAGACCCGTGCTGTGAGCTCCGCCGGACACTCTCTGCCTGTCAGGCTCCTGCCGTCACCCTGTCTGGAGTCTCACCGTCCTGTCCTCTGGCTGTTTGTTTTGGTGGCCGCACTGGGGCTTCATTGTTTTGTGGTCTGGTCTGTTGGGTCCTTTTCTCAGTAAAGCAGCACCTAGGAGGGTGTGGTGGTGCCTGTTCCCTGTGCGTCCTTCCACCCTACGACTTCTGATGGGCAGAGGCCCCGGGGCGCCTGTAGCCGAGGCCACTGTGGAGCAAGCTGGCGCAGCACTGAGCACCGTCTCTGCTCCATCTTGCAGGTTCACCTACGGCCACGCGGGCACCATCTACAAGGACTTTGTGTACATCTCGGGGGGCCACGACTACCAGATCGGCCCCTACCGCAAGAACCTGCTGTGCTACGACCGCCGCACGGATGTGTGGGAGGAGCGGCGGCCCATGACCACGGCGCGTGGCTGGCACAGCATGTGCAGCCTGGGCGACAGCATCTACTCCATCGGGGGCAGCGACGACAACGTCGAGTCCATGGAGCGCTTTGATGTGCTGGGCGTGGAGGCCTACAGCCCGCAGTGCAACCAGTGGACCCGCGTGGCGCCCCTGCTGCATGCCAACAGCGAGTCGGGGGTGGCCGTGTGGGAGGGCCGCATCTACATCCTGGGCGGCTACAGCTGGGAGAACACGGCTTTCTCCAAGACCGTGCAGGTCTACGACCGCGACGCCAACCAGTGGAGCCGCGGCCCCGACCTGCCCAAGGCCATCGCCGGCGTGTCGGCCTGTGTCTGCGCCCTGAAGCCGCAGCTGGAGGACAGGAAGAAGAAGGGCAAGGGCAAGCGGCAGTAGGGCAGGGCCAGCGCTGCCGCCCGCTCCTGGCCTCGTGGCCGGAGCAGTAGGCAGTGGCCGCCCCTTAGCCCTCTGGAAATGTTACGTGCTCTTGGCAGCTTTTTTACTTTTATGATTCTTGGTATTTCTATGGTATCATAACCAATTAAACATGGTATATCACTTGACACATTATCTTGCCTGAGTAATTAAACCTGGGCCCAGGCAGTGACCATCCTTTGGATCTGTGCAGGCCTTCTTCCCAGGGAGGTCCCCACGAGTCCCCTTGACCTTCCCCCGAGAGCACCAGCACACAGAATTCACAGAAATGTTCGTAGAGAGACGCGGGCCTTACGGGGGTATTTGGGACCACCTAGTCTAAGCAAACCTGGCCCGTCTTTTAAAAATACAGATTCCAGGGCCTTCCTCAGAATCATCAACTCCAGAACTACCAGGACCATTGTAACCAGCCTTTGAATTGTGAGCGTCGGCCATGGCCGGCAGCCGCTGGCCAGGTCAAGCATGTGTGCGTCATTGAGAACGCAGGCCCACCAGGGCAAGTGATCGGCCAAGGGTACCACTGTGCCCGAGAGTCAGGCGGGGGGTGGGGACTTCCTGCTGCGGACCTTTTCTTCTGGGCTTTCTGTCGCAGCTTTTCCTGGCTAGTGATCTCTCTGCATTCTAGAAAGTCACAGGTAACCAAGAAAGAAAGGGAAAACAGCACAGAGCTCTTTGGACGCGTCATCCTGTAATTTGTGGCTTTTCACCCTCAACGTCCCTAACTTTACTGTAAGAAAATCTACGTTTCTCAGGAAGAAGAGTGAACTTTGTAGGACCTGCGGTTGTTTGCAATGGCTGTAGCTCTGAGGAGCCGTTGGGAGCAGAACACACAAACTTGTGGGTTCCCAGGGTGCTTGAGTGCCCCCCTCAGCTCAGGTGACACGGTGCTGGCCCTGGGTGCCTGCCACTGTGTGGCTTTGCCTGCCGGGCAGCTCCTTTAGCAGATCTCCATCTGTGCCCGCGAACCTTAGCCGGCAGGTGAGATGGGAGGACCTCTGTCTGTGTGGGCTGCTGGTTCCCTTGGCTTCTCCTAGATGTGGTTTCTAGAACAGTCTTGGAGGTGTGCCCTCCGAGAGCTGTCAGACTGCGGCCCAGCCGGCAGGTGACACAAAGCGCAACTCGAGGCCAGGAGTGCGATGGTTTTGACCCTGAGCCAGGAAGGCCAGGATCTGAGGCCGGGATGCAGAAGCTCACTGTTGACACCGATGCGGGAGCGGAGCGTCTCGGTGCACTTCTGTTTCTACTCCTTGCTCCCCCCCCCCTCCAGGGTTTCCTGTAGTTCCCATCGCCCTGTTCCTGTTGTGGTCTAGGAGAGGGGGGACATGAACCTGGGAAGCCAAACCAGTGCTGTCGCTGCCTCGCTGCTGGTAGCACGCAGACCGCAGAGCGAGCTAGGTACTCGTGGAAGTCCTGCAGCTGTGGGGAGGTCCTGCCAGGAACCCCGCACACCAACAGGCTGCACTCTGGAGCTTGGTACTGCAGTGTGCTAAAGGCCCTGAGAAGTCCCGCATTAACCACTAACCTGTGACTGAGACTCACCTCTGCCTCCCAGGAAGGGTTTCATTGCCCAGAGGTCCTTCCTCCCCAGCTCCACCCAGGTCATGAACAAAGAGGAGGCGGTTCTAGAGGATCGAGTCAGGCTGGGGACAGCGTGCTGGAAGTTCTGAGTGGTTTGGCAGCAGATGGCTTTGACCTTGGGGAGGGGAGAGCCACTAGGGTCAGCCTAAGCTAGCTCTTAAGTTTTTGATGCTAGGGTAAGGTGACATGCTGGCCCTGGCTTTCTTGTGCCCCATGGGTTACATACCATGTCCTGCACTTTGCATCTGTGCCGTCCCTCTTGATGTGGTTGATGTCGTTTGTCATTTTCATGGAGTGGATGATGACGTTACTGATGCCAAGAGCATTCCACAGGTGGAGGACTGACAGGTAAATGTCGTCCTGGGTTGACTACAGAGTTGGTGGCAGCTACCCTGTGCTGGGCTTTTGTGCTCGACAGAAAAGGCTCACGACCAGGTGCTGGGACAGGGCCAGGTTTTTGTCACCTGTGTTTTTAAGTTGGGGGACAGAGCTTGGAACTGTGTGTAAGCAGGTGGCCTTTTAACCTGCAGTGGGGATAGCGTGGTCTCAAACCAATCTTGAGGTGGGTGACATGCACAGCTGCCGTTCTGTGGTCACTGTGCAGGCATCAGGCTGTTTGGAGCTTTGAGAACATCTATACTTTCTTTTTATCTTGATCTTTCCAAATAATCGTAGTAGGCTCTTATTCAATAGGTCTTGATCTTCCTCATTTTAAACAGTCGGGGTTTTAACTGTGTGTGAGTTGTATTTGGTCCTAACCCTGTTTACTTAAGACACGTGTCACGACCGCAGAGGACAGTGAAGAGCTGGAGGATGCTGGCTGTTCACAGTGGTCGCTCTGTTGCTGACAGTGCAGATTGCAGGCGCCCTCTCACCCCTAGTCCCAGCTACTCGGGAGGCTGACGCAGGAAGTTTGCAGAAGGTGCCTAGAGTAGAAGCTCAACTCTGTTACTGTACTTGGCCTCAGCCCGCGATGTTCACCTTCTGCCATCTTAGTAAGTCTGCAGGCAGGTCCCAGCGGCCTCTGTTGGGCAGAACCTCAGGTGTGTATTTATATTCTGAATGCCCTCTACCTCCCCTTAATGGTAAGGCAACCTCAGGAGTCTTAGCAGGGACTCCAGAAGCTCTAGGGGTGTTCACTTTGGGGTGGGAGACAACCTGCTCTGTTTTCGGTACATCAGCTGTTTCCAAGCATCTGACCCCTAAGCAAGCAGGGCCTGTCAGTGTGTGCATTAGTACTGGAAGTGAAAGTGCCCTCTGTCCTGGTGACCCCCATAGAGCCACCGCCCTCGTTCTTTATCCGGGTCCCCATGATGTCGGCTGGGCTGACCACAGTCCAAGCAGTAGCCCGTGGGCTCTTGGACTCTCAGAGCTTTGGGCCTGGACCTGCAGGGGAAGCTGCAGCCGTGGTCCAGGCCTCCTGGTGTCTCTGTGGGTTCTGAGCAACTGCGGGGAGCAGATGGCATCTGCCTCCAGGAAGAACCTCTGGACATAAGGCACTTCCACCGACACCAGCGGCCCCCAGCCCTTGCTCTCCAAGCCAGCTGGCTTTCGAGTTCTCGAACTATTTTGATACTTTTCCATAGTTTGCTGAACCATTTTGTAGAATGCCTGCCAGGGTTGTTCATCGTGTCCCCACCTGCGGCCCCTTGATTTGTCTGTACAACAGTAGCCAGGACTTGCCTCGTGGGACTTCCTCTTAAACCTTTCTGGCTCCACGTGGCCTGCGAGTAGGACTGTCCTAAGTCCCAGCTGAGCCAGAGGGCACCCATCTTCCCAAAGACACCTGACTCCCTCACAAGGTTCTGTCTCTTCTGGAGCTCCTACCTCAGTGGTGTCAGAGGGACCCCTCGGCTGGTCCCCACGTCACCTTTCTCACCATCAGACGTGTGGCTGGGGTCCTGGTCCATCCTATTCACCTCTAATGACAGCTGAGCACAGTGGTGACACCTGAAATCCCAGCCACTCAGCGACTTGGGAGGAGGAGGCAGGATTGCAAGTTCAAAGCCAGCCTCAGCGACTTAGCCAGGCCCTATGCCATTCAGTGAGACCCTGTCTCAAAATAAAAGATAAAAGGTCTGGGGATGTGGCTCAGTGGTTAAACACCCCTGGGTTCAATCCCTAGTACCCCCTATAAATAAACGATTAAAGACACTCATTATACATGTCCTCGACTCCTCACATCATTTCTTGGTTTTTGGTTTTATACTTTGTTAGACTTTGGTGGCTTCTGAGGGGTTGGAAGTCTCAGGACATTGTCCCTTGGTTGCCTTAGCTAGAAGGATTGAAAACAAGCACTAATTTTGGTGGTGGAGGGACAGAGGGGTGAGTGGAGTCTGTCAGTTTTCTTGGAGAAAAGAAACTGTCCTGGAAGAGGCTGGACGCCATCTTGCAGGTGCAGCTGCCGGGGGGGGGCAGGGTCCCTGGACAGGTGGAGGTGAGGAGTCACACGCCAGTCCCCTTCCGCGATTAAGTGGTCCGTTGGGTGCGTCCTGCCTGCTGATGTCACGGAAATCTGTGATCGTGGGGTTTCCTCGTGTGTTGCTTTTGTATTGTGATTTTATGACATTCGAAGTTTTCCTGTCGTACCTCTTTTTAATTGATTTTTTCGGTTGCTTCCTTTTTCTTCGTTGATAATTCCATACAGAGATTTCAATTCCTGAAACACATTAAAATGATCTGCCTGCTAGGTGCGGTTGATTTTGTGATCACATTCCCAGGCTTGTGTGGTTATTCAGTGGCCTTTTTTCCTGTTTTCTCTGCACATATGAAAACGAACCCCTGCGCGATCCGCGAGGAGTGTGACTTGGAGAGGAGCCCGGCTTCCTGTCAGCGTCGGGAGCTGGGCTCTTCCATCGTCCTGCTTTACTGAGCCTCTGATGGCTGTGTTCACCCGGGAATTCCATTCAGGTCTCTGACTGCAGCACTGCATCCCCGTGACCTGCAGTGACACTATCTGCTTCATTGTGTCAGTTGGGGTAATTTGATTAGAAAAGAAGACGAGACACCAAGGAAGCGCGCGCAGCCTGTGATGAGCACTGGGTTATTTTTAGAGGCTGCCGTTTCCTCTGGGGCCTGAGAGGAGGCTGGCTCTCCACCCGCAGAGAAGCCCCTTCCTGCATGGTCACTGGCCCTTCAGAACCGGGATGAGGGAAGGAGGCACCTGCACACCCGTCACCTGCCAAACCTGGTCAGAATCCGCCTGAACCAGGAGCTGCCCAGACAGGCCTTGTGGCCAGCCAGCGGCCAGCCCAGGCCCAGGCCCCGCGCTCCTCCCTTCCCCCTCTGCCCCAGGCTCCAGATGAAAGTTCAGGCGACTCCAAAGCTCAGGGTAATGACCTTGCCCAGGCTGGGGTTGCTGGCCACCAGGCAGTGGTCACCTTGGAGTGGACTCCAGTCAGGTATTTGGCAGAGCTGGGGACACAGGAGGAGGAGCAGCTGAGGAGAAGGTGCTTCATCTCCTGCTGAGTCACGGCTCCCTTCCCAGCTGTGCCTGGGGCCCCGCAACCCGTCCCCTGCTGAGCAGTCTGGGTGTCACCTGGGCACCATG